TTTGTGGGGGTGGCTTTAATCCCCCCCCCCCCCCCTCCCCAAGAGGTACCAACTCTAAAACAACACATTATTTCCTGTCATATTTTTTTCGGCTCAATACCTCAAACGTACCGCGAAAACTCCCGCTGTGGACCTTTTGAGGCTGGAAACCCTTAGAGGTACCAAAACTGCTTTCTTACCCCCTGAAGGGTTCGATGAGCACCCTGACTTTTGATATGGGAGTCTTACTAACCGAATAATGATATAAAAAAAAGGTTACTTATTAGTTGTAAAAAATCTAACGACTTAAAGATAATGATCTCCCTATTTTGACAAAACACCTATTGGAAAAACCACTTCGTCTTCCTGAGTTCTGTCTACTTTGATCTGCCGAAAACAATCAATCAAACGAGGTTTAAAACGCGTAATTTTGCTTATATTTTTAGGATTTACAAGACAGCGATGGCAATGAGCGGTCAGACTGGGAAAGATACGCACAAGAAGAGTATGACTTACTAGTGGCTGAAGAAGGAGCCAATGAACAGACAGAAGGGTAAAATAACATAATTATATAATAACTATTTAAATTAAGTGTCAAATGTCTAACACTATTGTGCTAATTGAGGGCACTAAATAAATAATTACCCAAATAGAAAATAAACTGTGAAGAATCTCAACTGGAGAGAAGCTAACCAGTTGGATATTCACACAACGCAGTCGAGGAGTTGAACTCGGGACTACGGGAAACAAATCTAGTTAGCGGTAGGTTGAACAGAAGGATTTGAACCAGGAACCTCTAGATTTCAAACCCAGCGCCGTAAACCACTCGACAACANCCTTACCCATCTTACCAAATACAGTAAAATTTAAAACTATTTATGAGTACATTCGCATCAGAACGTTGGAATCTGTGGAACAAAAATATGAATTTTTCACGACATCAAGGTGTTTGTTTTCTCCATCAGTTTATACGAGGATGATTTCGATGAAGACGAAGATCTTCCTGAAGGAGATATAATGGCGCTAAAAGGACTTGAAAACGATGATGAAATTGATAGCGACAAGAATAAGAACAAACCCTGGACAATGGTCACCGGCATCGATGACGACATTGATGACAACAACGATGATGATGATGATGACGACGACTTCTATTAACAGAGTTTGCGTGACCGCGCGTGTTCGCTTACATGGTTTGCCTTGGAATTGGGCATTGCCGTCTAAAATGCTACCCTCTGAGGGTTAGAGGTTAAAATAAGCTCTAGTTTGTGAGTGAAATTCGTTGCTANTGTTCGCTTACATGGTTTGCCTTGGAATTGGGCATTGCCGTCTAAAATGCTACCCTCTGAGGGTTAGAGGTTAAAATAAGCTCTAGTTTGTGAGTGAAATTCGTTGCTAGGTTAAAAGCTAGCTAGGCAGACGTTGAGAGTTATTGTTCAAACGAAAGTGACAAAGGAATGAACTTAGGCTCTCGTGACCGAGAGAGAGTTGGTAACTACGTTCAGTCGAGCTTCTCGTAAGGTTGTGGAGATGGCACCTTATGGAGGGTGACCGGCAAGCAACCCGGGCTAAGGTTTAATGTTCCCTCTCTGTAGATTGCCCAGCCGGATAAATTAAATTTTAGTAGGTTTCATTGTATGTATAGAGAGTAGGAGTTAATCTCGGTTTTTATGTTAACTGTAACAGTAATACAACGTGAGAAGAACAACGTTTAAGGGTTAGTTAGGTAAATCTTGGAAAATAGGAAAAAAATTTCGAGTAAGGAAAACAGAATATAAATTGCCATTAAAATTTGAATATGGTGTTCTGGTACGTTTTGCGTTGTAAAACCATTGGCCAAGTTTCCCCACACTTCATGGCTAAATCGCAGCCCAGCACAGCAAAATAATTCAGTCCACATAATTCTATTTATACACCAGTAATTCGTACATCACCCCGATGCTTAGTGGAATGGAAAAAGAAATATTTATACGTCTCCCTGTGATCCTCAAAGCGCCCATTTTTTCCCCGAAAAATGGTTTTCTTTGGCACCGAGGGAGTCGATTGGCCAGATGGGTAATAAGTTGGGCATACTCAGAGCCCGCGTCCCCCTAAACCAGCGGTCGGGAAACGTGTTTTCCTTCCCGTCGTCTAGGGGGACGTGGGCTCTGGTTTACGACAAGATACTGAAATAGCTTCAGGAACTCTCAAAGGCATCAAAATGTTGTAAAGGCCAGTTCCCACCCCAACATACACCTGGGTGGAGAGAGGTACTGTGAGAAAAGAAAACAATACAGTGCCCGGCCTGCGCTCCAATCCAGACCACTCAATCCGGATTCCAGCGATGGAAAATAATCCGAACGCGTGCAAACTTGGAACAAACCGAGTGACAAAATGTTGAGTGAGACTGGGAAGAGACGCCTCGCATGCTTTCGATACGCGTTTATAGTCTCGACCAAAAGTAAAAGGAGTTCGATCATGGTATCTTGAGTTATTTTGGCCATATATAAAACTACCTTTAAATTGAAGGAAACCTAAAATAGTAGTTCATTAACCCTTTGAATACCAAGCTTTCGCCAAAAAATACCGTTTTTAACCGTTTAGTCAGGTATTTTAGCTGCCATGACGCTAAATAAGCCTAAGTTTTGCTAAAAAAGCTTTTTTTTTTTACTAAAAGGAGAGATTTTTCGAGGATTAGGTACAAAATTGAGCAAAACTTCAATTCCGGGCATGCGCATGGGTAAAAATTTGGACTCTTTTTTTTTTTGGCCATTAACCGTTCTCAATTTCGTTTTTTGGTCCATTCCTTTCTGTTTTTCTCGGCCCTTTTACACTGGCTACCTTTTGCATTGTGTGTTCTTTCTGGCTGCAGTGAAAAGCTGGATGTTAATTACGGGCGAAGTCTAGAAATGGACCTTGATCAATCATAGGCGTTGTGGACTATTTTACCACCGCTTAACGTTGTTTTTCGATTTGCGACGTCGGAATGTCGTCGATATCTAAACCTGACCATTGTGCGGAAAGGGCCAGCCTAGCACTACTATCTGCTCATCAAGAATATCTGACGACATTTAAATTGATGACGTCACAAATGGTACAAAGAGCACGGCCATTAATTACGCATACAAGCATAGTTGGTATTCAAAGGGTTAAGATAGAAAAACACCAGAGATAATAATTGATAAGGCAAGCCACAAAGGAACGATGGTTAAGGATGGAGAAGATTAACACAGACCGACAAACGGTGAACTTGAAAAATTTAGGGTAAACTTTTCAAGATGAGCAAACCGTGACGTAGCTCCTTAAAGGCCGTCCCCCTCCGAGATATTTAACTAGTTTATGACTGCTACAACGTATTCCCGTCGTATTTCATTTTATTATAAAGCCTTTGAATCCGATATTTCCACAAGATAGATACACAGGTTGCTAGAATGAGGCAACAACCGAAACACCACTATTTACATTATATTAGTCACAAAGTAATAAAAAATGGCCATCTTTTCAAGAATGTATGTTCGTGTCCACCTATGGCAATCATCGGAATCAAGCTTGGAAGAAAATCAATACATTCTCAATAGCGATGAACATCTCATTACAATCTTTGGAATAAAACATTTTCAAACAGAGAAGTAGTGATAATAAATACTTGTTAACTAGAGAATATTTTCTTGATATATTAGCAGGCTCTCGGCACTAATGTACGTTAGACGGGCGAATTAAAAAAATGATCAAACTTGCTGCAAATTGTTACGAACATGAAGTAGATTGAAACAAGGTTTGTAATGAAAGAAAAAAAGAAAGAAACATGTTCATGGATTGATTTGGAAAGGGTTTTCAAGTTTATCGGTTAACACTGGATGAATAGTTGAAACAATTTTGTACAGATCTTGAAGTACGACAACATGCAAAACGAGTCATTCGTAACGAAGTGAAATAAAAAAACCAAATCGAGGGAAACAAGCGCGCATGCAACTGATGTCAGATATATATACAGATATAAAATTGATTATATAAAGGACGCTCTAATATTATGGATAATTTGGTGAATACGAACACTTGTAACGTTGCCTAACCTTTGTTAGGTTTCTTTTCTTCTTGTTTTTTCCTAAAAAAATATCGAAAATTGCTGTTCTGTTCACATAACCTGATGCAAGCATTCGAGTGAGTTTAAGACAATGGGATATGGCTCTCGTTCACAAACTTCTAAACTCACTTTCCTACTTAGATTTGTAACCTCGAGCACACTTTCTTTGAGGAACTTTGTCACGCTATTTTAGGCGATTGTGTGACGTACAAATAGGTCTTCAAACGTAATGAAACAATCGAAACATTTTCGAACAAAAAAGGAATTTCAATTTCCCGCACGGTGAGGAATGCTCAAAAGATGTCTCTATTCGCTATTTGGATTAAATTTGAAAATCAGAAATGGAATATTTCACGATGGCTGAAACTTTAGCCTGGAATCACCGCAAACAGCGTGACCTTACGTGACAATGCATAAAATATGGCCTAACGTGACAGACTCGCTTACGAGCTTAATATACACGTAAGGTGTACAAGAACAGATCGATGCTCTTACTGGTGTCGGATGAGAAGTAACTTCACCTTGCAACTTCTTTATGAACTGAACAGATCTGAACAGATCTGAACAGAAACTTCTCTAGAGCATTACCAGCTATGCTTGCTTTGTGTTCTAACCCTTTTCTCATGACTTAGGCGACTGTGGGGAGAGAACAACACGCTCTCTTTCCCAACATTTTCCTCTCTTTCATATCCCTTATACAAATTTAGCCTTGAATTTCTTGTACTTGGATATTTTACGACCCTCATTTGCGCAGTAGCCAGATCAAAGCGTCCTCGTTCCTTTTCGATTTTGAATCCTACTTTTTACGATTCTCTGTTCCCTTGTGACTTATTATTCCAAAGTTAAAAATAACATTCTGAGTTTTGTAGTAAAACTCACCGCAAAAAGGCTCTTAATACTACGTTCACACTATCAACAACAAAAACTGTTTAAAAAAGCTTTTTTCAATGTTCAATTGCTTGAAAATCAACCTGACGTTAACAATCGAGAGATGCTGCGTTAAGGCTCGCATTTCCTCGAATTGTTAAATTACGCTGTACTAAACAGATTCAATTAGTGTGAACGGAAGCAAATTTGTTCTAAAAATTCTGTCCCGCGGTATTTCCTTGACCGGGATAATACCCGTATCCCTCGGGATAAGTCCACTGGTTACCCGCAAGGTTACCCGTAAGGTTACCCTCTGGATTATTGTTCGAGTAGAAGTTCGCATTTAGCGAATTACCTGAAGGATAAGGTGGCGGTGGCTGTTGAGGCGTGCCAGGAAAAAAGCCACTCTGTTGTGGTGCAATATAATTGTTCTGCATGTTAGAATTTCCTTGATACTGTTGGTTATAGTTTCCATACTGGTTGGTATTCGCAAACCTGGTCGCAGAGGGGTATGGTGGTGGTAAAGTCTGGTTACTCGTGGGACTACTCACGGGAGCCGATGCTCCTCCCGCTGAAGATGGGAATCCTTGATAACTATACATGTTATTAAAGTCAGTCTGGGCTCCCCAAAGCGAGCCAGGTACATTTTGCGTTGGACTTTTCATGACACCAAAACCTCCTACACCAGCCCCAGTTGGGTTAGCTCCACCAAAATTCGTTTCTCCAAAGTTTGTTCCTACGTTGTTGAGTCCCCCAGAGAAGGGCCCACCGAAATTTGTTCCAGGGATATTCTGTCCTCCTATGTTTGTACCTGGGAAGTTGGTATTAGCACCTGGAAAGCTAGGTGTTACCGGGCTGGGCCCTAGAATAGTGGTCCCTCCGTAATTTGTCCTTGAATTTGGAGCTCCAAGTCCCTGAGCTCCCGGAAAGGTAGGTCCACCTTGAGCAATACCTGGAACACTGCTGGGTGAAATATTTACAGTTCCCGAATTGTTGGCCGTAAAGTTATTTCCCGTAATGTTTGGCGTAGTTAAATTAACGCCTCCAAAATTTGACGCGACGTAATTTGGCGGCTGCTTCACAGGATACTGCGACTTGAACATTTCAAAATTTGGAGGATTAGGGAACACGCCTTCCGGGGGGTAGCTGGCAGGGTTCCTGTAATTGGTCATGTCAGCAACAGGCGGATTGCGAGCTACTGGTGCCACAGAAGCAATACGTGAATGAGGATGGATCTTGTTGCCTGGAGGAGCTGTGTTTTGAGGCTGAGAGGGTAAAATGTCCGTCTTATCAACTTCTGTTTTACTTCCTGGATTCGTAATTTTCTGGTCTTTTTCGCTGCTGTCTCCACCGTTTTTCGGTTCTTTGCTGTCTCCACCTGTTTTCTGTTCTTCTTGGTTGGAATTCTTTGCCGTTTCGTTATCGCCTCCTTTATGTTCTTGTGATTTTGAGGTATCAGGCTGCTCTCCGTTTGAATGATTTTTCTCTCCCCGTTCTTTCCCACCTTCCGTAGCAATCGATTCCTCTTCTTTTAAGTCACAACCGTCGTTGTCTTCGTCGTCTTCATCAATAATCCTTCGCGTCCTTCGGAGACGAGACGTCCGCGTGGATGTCCGCTGACCATCTTCATCTGAATTTCCCTCGTACTCATACCCACTCGTTCTAGACTCCGAGTCGCTTTCGTAATCAAGGTCCATAAGTCTGCGGGATCTGCGGGTGTTCTGTTGTCCTGCCTTAAGGAAGTTACCCGTTTCGTAGGCGGGCTTTGAGTACAGTAAGTGCTGTTCCTCTCCATTAACCTCCTCTCCTTTGAATCTCTTCTTGTCGTTTTCCACGGCTGATGTAATGTCGTCTTCAAATTCCTTGAACGTGTAGTCGACGTTTTTCCTGGAGCGGCCAGACCGTCTAATTCCTTGGTCTTCTTCATCGTCAGATGTTCTCTACAAGACGAGAAAAAGAAATTAAAACTGGTTTTCACTGCGGCGCAAGCAAAAGCGAAGGCCAAAGATCTCGCGCAAATCCTAAGAAACAAGCATTGAGCCAGAAATTGAAGACTGGGAGTTCAAAGAGAATTGCTTTTTCCCGTTATCAAAACTGGGACTCCAGGACTCCATTCTGATCTCACAAATAATTTCATCTCACAAAATGCTCTTTGCTGAAACAAAGGCAAACACAAGCAGTAAAATATCAAGTTCCGAACTTCGTCACGTAAAAAATGTCGTAAGTAACGTCAGGGTAATAGTTAGGGCTGCACAAAAGTATAAGCGAAACATTAGAAAGCCGCACGGTAAGTGAAAATTGTACAAGATTGAATCTGACTGCCAACTTCGTAAAAAATTTCTGACATAAAATCCGCGTGGTCTAGATCGCTCAGAAATCCTCTTTCACTGTTTTTCGGCTTTAGCATATTTACGCCTCTCGACAAAGAAAAGTTAGGTTGTCTTAATGTCTCGCCGTGTTTCAAGAGTCCCTAAAGGGTTAACAAGTAGGTCACGCTAAAGACATATCAAGCTGAACGGGCCAGATTACGCCAGTGTCACGCCACTTTAAAGTAGCTATGTCACGCTACAATCTAAGTATGAATTCTCACCGATCTTATGCGCTAATAGAAATGAGATAATACTCTTTTATGGGCTCCAAACATAACGATGACAACAAAAATTTTAATTGAACATTATAGAACCTGTCTTCACACTCGATGAGGAACACGACGTTTTCCTTGCCGACATGTCACGCAATGCACAAGTGGGTCTAACAGACCATATTAGGTAATATCACGTGGCGTGACACCTAACGACATAAGTTAACCAAAAGAAGACGTGACCCGCGCCATGTTCAAACACCTCCTTCCCTCCCCCCACCCCGCCCCCAACACGCACACACATTCTGCAAAAAATGTCGATTCGCGAAAGCGCAAGACACATGTCATTGTCGGAGTGAAGAACACATACATGTTTTAAAACAACAGATTTTTAAACCATTAATAGATGATGAAATTACATACCTGTAAGATGTTACTCAAGTCAATACCGGCAAAACCCAACCTGAAAGATATAAGCAGATAAGTTTTTAATCAAAAGACCTTACTGCGCATGCGTAATAGAAAGTCAACAACTGTGCAATTAATTATTTCCTAAGCATACTCGCGACCGTACAATGACTGGCAAACACTAGAAACAACTTCAAAAGTAGCACCACCCAGGGAATTATAGCATATTTTTCGAAGGCAACGAAACGCCATGTACCATAATTGTGGTGAGAAATGACTAAATATTGTAGCTCAGTCGCCCCCACAATAGTTGATCAAAAAAGTAGTCAGCCGTTGATCTGCCACACATACCCACCCCACATATGGTGGAATATGTGCCACTCAACAGGCTCAGAGCAACTCCAGTTTATAAGAAACAGCTGCCAGACTGATTGTCAGCTGTGCCGACGACTGGAGACATTATTTTACTGTCAAATGACAAACATAATCAGAATTTAACCTCAATTCTGTGATTTAACCGTACACGTAGCACTTCAACTAAAAGGATTCGTGTTGACCCTAGCTCCACCCGTTAGAGACTTTTTATGCTGTTAAAATGTCAAAAGCGTTTTTCCCTGGTCTCGTTGAGTATTGTTTATTTTAAGACCCCTCATTGCGGCGAAATTACTCTTTTTAGGTTTACAGATACGTTCATTTTAAAATACTTAACAAGCACCGTCAGGGCGAATGTTCTTTGTAAGCAGTCATGATTCCAAGTGTAAAAAATACACATGTAAAAATGCAAACAGTGCAAAATAAATCACTTATGTCCTTATGAACGCAATTATTGTTTAATTAGTACTTCATATTTGCCAGGGTTATTTGGCATTTTCATATTACTTCATATTTGACAGCATTGTGTGTGTTTTGGTGACTTCTTACCAATGAGGACCCTTTGTGATGCTTATCATGAGAAATTTAAATCTCATTAGCGTTCAATCCTGGACATATCTGTGTTTTTCACTCGATCTAAAGCACTGAGTAACGTATTGTCCAGAATAACGCGACACATCGTATATTTCAGATGATAAAAGCAGCTGGAATGAAAACGCTCTTTCTAGATACAGAAAATACAAAGAAAAATGTGCAAGAATAAGAAGGTTGGAAAATTATTAGTGAAAAACTTCAAACGTTCCACAACAAGACTGCCTTTTATTCCTTTCAAAAATACGTTAAATCTATTTCACTAAGATCTTCAATAAAAATGACATATTGTGTTAAATACTTTAAACACTATACAAACTATAGATCTTTTGAAAGACATAGCAACCTCCATATAATTATTCCAAGTGAAGATAACAGCTATTCTCTGGTTAATTTTCGTGGAAATAATCTGTCGAAAAACTCTTGATTCGTTCTAATCTAACAAGTAACTTTGTCGCTTTGAACGAAAGTTTACCGGTTTTTACAACAGAGCGGTTAATTATTGACTTCAAATACGGTACTGCATGTAGGTAAAACACCTGCTAACAGACCGCTCAAGGGAGCGATGGTGTGTCCACATGAAGTTCGTCCGTTTTCACAGCGCAGCTTATTTTGTATTTTCTCTACCGTTTACAATTATCAGTGAGGCCTTTTAAAAAAATCAGTTGATGACGCAGGATTCGTTTCGTAACATAGCTAGGCTGGGCTGTCGATCTAAGATGTATCAAGTAGTGATAGGGACAGAACGATAAATGCAATTGGTATTCAATGCAGACAGAAAACTGCACACTTACATTACATTAACGATACCCTTGGCTTTGGACGAAATTATTGCCTACAGAACAAAGAATGAATTCTCGTTTGAAAATAGTAATAAAAACGAAAGCCGATGGAAGAGAAGTAGGCAGGCAATGAAGTAAAAATATGTTCGACTTAGATCATAGTTTTTACACGAATTTAAATTACTACTTAACAAAATACAGTGCGCGTGACCACAAGGTATTTTTCAACTGAACAAACAACGGGTAAAGCTTTCCTTCCACGTTTTATCTCGCCTGCGATCAGGCTCCCAGCGAGGGCGGAAAAATGTTCGGCGAGCGAAGCGACCCGTTTAGCGTGAAATAAAGAATCCGCGAGAGAAGCAAGTGGGAGAAGGGGAGATATCGTTGCAGCATTTTCTTACTTCACGAAGACTGGATCGTGTGTTTAAAGCAGTTGTCAAAGAACGAGGTAGACTGGGATGGATCAATGCGAGTGCCTCTCCCTCTCCTCCCCCTCTGGTTTCAAGGCTCGCCCCACTCCCCTTTATCTGCGTTTTCACTCACTGTCACTTTTCCTTATTTCTTTGAGACTGATTCAAGCAAAAAAGCACCCCTGGAAACTAACAGCACTCCTATGGCGTCATAACGACAAATTGTTTGGTTTCGACTTTGGATCGAAACATAACCACAATCAAGAAGATAAAGTACTGGGTTGTTCCAGTCTTGTTTTCGGTGACAATTACGTGGGCTGCCAATTTCGCTAAAACGGTCCGACAGTTACAGCTAATCGCACTAACAAGAAACGTTGAATAAGCTATTGCAGAAATCAAGAACCTTCTGTCCTTGATTCGAATGATTCTGTCATGAATGAATGATGACTGAAGGAAATGCAAGACATCCTCGCACAAGAGAAAAGAAGNGCAGTTTCGGTTTTTAGGAAAAAACAAAAGGGGTCTGTGGTTTCGAAGAAACAAAATATGGCGGAATGAGGAATGTATGACCCCCTATAATAGACCCTCTACATACAGTACATAAAAATCTCTATACATGTATAGGAGTGAAATGTGACGGCACTTTGCACTCTAAAGCTACTCTATGGTGATGAAATTTAATGGAACTTGACCCACTTTTTCTTCCTGGCTTTTTTCCAGGGCTCTTGATCTCTCCCTTCTTTTTCATTTCCTCTCTTTTTGCAAGAGCTATTTCTTTGGGGTTCACCACTGACTTGGTCTCAAGGTAGTCAACAACTTCAACCAATTCACCTGTCTCACTAAGAAAAAACAAACATTGAAATGACAGGACATTTCCATAATGCAACTTCTTTCATTCCTTGGTAGAAAAGATGACTTGACTATACATGTCATGGTTACCACAGACATCACTTTTCAAATTCGCTGAATTTTCCCTGAATTTTCCCTGAATTTTCCCTGATAAAAATAAAATTTCTGAGACCAAATAAATACAAAATGCCTCCCTTTACAGCCATCCATGCCACCCTTGCATTAAGAATGATAAGTTTTCAGCAAATTTTCCATCTACATTAAGAAAAGCATTGTTGGGATCACAGTGACCTCAAATGTTTCTAACAGCCTTAAATGATATTAAAGCAGTTGTGTCAAGTTATTTCTGTCAATTTTTCCTGATTTTTCTTCAAAAAGTCATTTTTCCCTGACTCAAAATAAAATTTCCTGACTTTTCCCTGGTCAGGACTAGGTTGAAGAACTATTTTCCCCTGACCATTTTCCCAACCTGCCGCAACCCTGCATGTGTTGCATGCATTTGCTTATTTTTCACAATCATTGAAACCATTTATAATAAATTAAATTCAGAGCGTCAGGAATAAACATAAGTGCCTAGTCACCCAGAACAAGTATGTTTTCCTGCCGGGCAAGTAACTTTTTATTTTCACTTGCCCAATGTGCAAGGGCCCTGGCAAGTTGCCTTTCACCCAAATCAAAAAGGTAAACTAAGACTTGCCCAGGGCAAGCAAAATTTGAGAGCTGCTCATGCGAAGGGCAAGCTAAAATTCAAGTTGTTTTGAACCCCTTGAGCCTTCATGTACTTCCTTGCATGGCAAGTGTAAGAAGTTTACTCACCTTGCTAACAGCCTCCATGATTCACAACTTACTTCGTCTTCTTCAGTGGTATACAGCCGTACACCATTTGATNTTATTCGAGGGGGGACGCTAATTTGAGGATTTACGGTAATTAGATTTATAGTTATAACAAATAGAGACAGTCTAACCTCATGGTACCAGTAAATGAACCCATCCAGATCTCGTCCAATAGGCTGCATACGTAATTCATCAGCATCAAAGCTTTTATTCACAGAACTCTTGAGTTTATCATTCTGATCAAACTGACATTCCAAAAGTAGCTAAAATTGTAAGAGATAAAAAAATTGATCAATAAATTTGTAGCTAAAATTAGGAGTTTTCCTCCATCTCTGAGAATGAGGCCATGAAATTGATTCTCAAAACATAAGACAATCAGAATGCTCTTACAATCATGGACAAAAGTCCTTAGGACGCTTATGTAATTTAATGAATTATCTGTGTTTTACTACCGAAGTTTGAAAAATTCACTGCTTTCCTTTTAAAAACATGTTACTGTTCCTCCTCCCCATCCAATACAAAGTTGAAAATCAGAAGAAATTGCAGGTAGTAGTTTTCAACATTGTATCGGGGGGTGGGGGCGAGGTTAGACAAGTGACATATTCACGTCTGGCGTGTGCGCAAAAGCACCAAAAGTGCAAATTTGTCCGAAGACCTTTGTGCGTGATTGTAGGTTTACACAGTCTTAACAATGAAGAAATGAAAATACATGTACCAGTACATGTAGGCATTCCAGACTGAAAGAAGTACACAAGGTGGAGAACTAATTTTTACTTAAAGGGCTGAGTAGCTCTTCATCAGAGAAGACTCAGGATACAAACGGAAAGAAAGGTGAAAACGATGACATAATTTAACAAAAAATACTAAATAAGCTACTACATAAATATAGTTAGTACAAGGCTCTAGCACCTTCTT